TGCTGTTCTGCTCAATGGGATCGTGAGATGAAGCTTGATGTCACTTCTCACACAGTACCATCGGTGGCCCTAGATGAAAAAATGCTTCTATAGACGCGACTATTCGGGGCAGTCGGGTCGGGGCTATCAGACTTTTCGGGGCCTTTCGTGCTTCAAAGCGACGACACGCCAACATGGCAGACAAGTCCATTCAGAGCGCAAGACATCTTCGTAGACGCTCGTATTCGGAGTCGGGCTGCCCATTCACAGTTGAACCCCATAACATTCATCGAAGAATGCTCGCATCCAGAAACTGCTCTTCAACGCTTTGCGTTCAAACGCCAAAATCAAGCAACTGAAAGCTCAACCGACACCCACGCAATCGTCATTGGTTCCCAAGCCTGAGCGCACCAACACATTGCCAAGGACCGGCCCGTACCGGCTTTCAACAAAAACCATGGCTCAAAATTTCATTGCAAGGATTTCGATTCGTTGCTAGATTGAAACTGTCCTGATCACCGGCATGGGCTGCATGTTGGCGATGCCAAGGACCAGCTGTTGGCTGAAACGCAGAGCTGATTGAGGCTGGAAACAATGCAAGGTCAAAGCCTTGGACTGGAGTTCAAGTGTTCTCTCGGAAGGAAGCATAAGTACCCACTCAGCGCAATACGAGCTGCTCATGCCCTGGCAATGCTAACATCAGACGATGAATGTGCTTGCATAAATTCAGGAATCTGCGTTGTGGCATACGGTTCTTGTAGCCGAACGCCTGTACTCACAGCAGTCCTACGAATCAACGCTGCCGTATGTGCTAGCCGAAAACGCTGCGAAGACGGCACGGCTTTGGAGTCAAGCGATTGACCGAATGTGTGGTCGCTTTCACACATCACATACGAGAGAAAGCGCTGTGGCTGGAACAGCCGATGACCCAAGCTACGAAAGGAAATGGTCTCGACATTTCTCACTGCCACAAACCACCGTTAAGCCATTTTCAGCAACGGCTGATCTGGTGGCAACCCGATGAAAAACCGACATCACGCCGGAAACCTTGCAGCTAACAGCCGCTGAACGAGCGGCTCAATACTAAACTCTCATCTTTTTGACATCCCGACGGCTCTCCCTTAGAGTACAAGCTGTGTGTTGCCTAGGGACTCGGCGTATTTGCCCTGGCCCTTGAGCGCACGGCTCTTGGGTGGTGAAGCCTATGGATTCGCAGAACATAAGATACTCAGTCTGATCGTCTGAGGAATCTTTGCATAAATCGAGTTCCATTGCTCTGTTGCCAAGTAATTGTGCTGAGGTCCCCAACGTGCACATCAAGCACTCAAGCTGTGACATGAGCGCTCGAATGTGGTGCTGGTGATAGTGATGGCGATAATGACGGCTAATGTACCTCTTTACACTCCGATATGATGTATGTCGCTGAGGAAGATAATCAATCACATAAGATACTGGCAAGGAAGCATTGCTACCAACGTTGCATCATGCATTGGTATGAATACTGGCCGCATCTGGTCGCAGCTGAAGACCCCTTGGGGGAACGGGTCTTGAAGTTACACTGCTGTCGTGAGCAAGCCTAGACTCGCACGACGTTTTCCTCAAGCTCATAGTTTCTGGCCGAGTCGAGTCCAATGCTGCTGCAACAAATCTTATAACCGGGCATTTCACGAATTATTATAAAAGTCACAAAATCCATATGGTATCAAGAAAGTTGCCAAACACGAATATTATAATGAAATCGCAATCCAATCATAATCAGCTCACAGACGCACACTCTTCTTTTTGCGGCGCAAAGGCCAGTGGGGTAAGCATGCACAGTACATGTCGTGGCATCGTGAAGGGAGGAACACACCTCTCCTCACGATCGTTCGCTGGCATCACCGCCAGGGGTCAGGGGACATCCCCCCACAAGAAAAAGGGAAGGGCGGGCGGGTACAAGCTTTGTTGCAAGAGGGGCTCGCCCCACCCACCCACCACTTAAGCAAGATGTTGCAAATGAACATGTTTAAATCATGCTCAAACATGCAAGCCACAGACATGTAACTCAATTCGTTCTCAAATCATTCTTTGAAAACGGTTGTTGAAATTCGTGAAAGTGTTTTTGCGTACCACATACGACAAAAACACAAAAGCCCTAGTTATAAAGCATTATGGCGCACGCGCCAAGGGAAGCTTATAACCGGGCATTTCACGAATTATTATAAAAGTCACAAAATCCATATGGTATCAAGAAAGTTGCCAAACACGAATATTATAATGAAATCGCAATCCAATCATAATCAGCTCACAGACGCACACTCTTCTTTTTGCGGCGCAAAGGCCAGTGGGGTAAGCATGCACAGTACATGTCGTGGCATCGTGAAGGGAGGAACACACCTCTCCTCACGATCGTTCGCTGGCATCACCGCCAGGGGTCAGGGGACATCCCCCTTTAAGCCATCCTCACTGACCACTGCGCGTAAAGAGCATTTCAGGATGGGACACGAAGCTTCATCGCACGTCACTGATCCAAAAGTAGGAAAATCACTAGAGCCTCGAGAAGGCGAGTCTGATGGGTTCGATTGCGAGGGAACCCTCGCGTACCAAGTCAGGCTTGGTTCGCGTGCATCAATCTCCTCGAAAGCCAGTAGAAGTTTCATCCACTCGGAATCCCGCGAAGTCCCTTTAATGCACGAGCTGAGAACTCCAGCATGATCGATAAAGAACATGGACCGAGTTTTATCGAGAAAACGGCCCCAGACATGCCTCGCCACAATCACCGCGTACAATTCAGTCGGGCCTATCAAGTGACGCTTGCCAGCAGCTCGCCAAGACCCAGCCAGCTCGCCAGGAACAAAGCCACTGAACCACCTCGTACACCAGACCCTGCCAGTCCAAAAGTACATGACGCCGCCGACAGTGAGTTGCTGATTGCCTTCCTCACCTTCGCAGGCGCCATCGGTGAAAACCAAAGCCCTTGCAGCAGAAGTAGTAGCAGTTAACACGCGAGGCCTTCCGGAGGCCACACGTGAAGCAAGCATGCGGAGAACGTTCTTGTCGAAGTCGTCGAGTTTGACATCATGATGAGCTCTCTCGATCCACCGAATATCCGCCATGGCAAGACGCCCCGCCCTGCCAAGGAGCTGAGTCTCGGCAAACTGCAGACGACCAACAACAGATGCAGCTTCGCGAGGCTTCAAAACACCGTCCGAAATCACCTTGTTGATGGCGTCACGAAGATCCTCAACTCGCGATGGCTTATTCGAAAGAGTGACAGCAGCAGGACCCGAAGTAGCCATGGCCAACCTGACACCAAGAAGATCAGCGCAGGGTGAAAAAGCCTCGTCCTTGTCTTTGGCCCATGTAAAACCCAAAAGGTCAAGAACTGCCTTGGCGCAACGATCAGCGTTCTGGCTAAGCTCGGCCAACTCCAGCAAAGGATAGTCATCAAAATAATTTGCAGCGAGCAGCTTCGTCTCATGGAAAATCCTTTGCACCAGCCGTGCCACTCGGTTGAAATGCCCAACACTTGCAATACTGCCGAAAGGTAGCACCCGACACAAGAAACCTTTAGGCTCGTCATCGGCCGGATCTTTCAAAGAGATCACGCTGAACCTCCTGTCATCCGGATGCAGCGCGAGTTGTTTGTAGGCAGATTTAAGGTCCACCGTCTTAACAAGAACGCGAGCTCGGTCTGCGTGCTGCAGCCAGTAAGGATGGACACGCCCTCGAAGAACGCGACCATCGTCGAGCCTCAAAGCAAAGCGGCAAAGCAGCGGGACTCCAGACAGCGCATGATCAGCATAGCCGTAAAGACCGTCTCGTCCAAAGCCCGAAGGTCAAGCTTGTCAAGAGTACTGCATGCCCCATTCGTGCCACACTCTGTCAAGTCATCTATCGGTCGCAGCTTGTCGTGCTGTACCACAGGGAAGCGGCGAGTCGGAACCCAACCTTCAGGAAGAAGCTGCTCAAGCTGAGAGAAAGTCCTCGGCTCCTCAAGCCAAGATTTATCTCGATACTCAGCAAAAGTAATGTCCCACAGTTCGCGCCCCAGGGAATCCAAAGGGGCGCCCTTGATCTTGGCCCACAAAGCCGGCCTAAGATGCTTTGACTGCTTCAGCAAATCCTCCTTGGTACCCGAAGCCGGACGAGGATCAAGGCCAAAGACACCACTTGCGTCCTGCAGCCCTGTAATGCGAAAACCACGAACCAACTCATCATGAAGAGCCTCGTCCGGCCACCCCATCGAGGCAGCCACTTTGCGCAAAAGAAGAAGCTTCTTGCCCTCAAGAACCGATGCGACACCTGGTTCAAGACTGTCATGAAGACGATCTTCGTCGGCCTGAAGATCGCGAGCCCACGTCTTCCCTTTGTGCAAAACGGATAATCTATGCCTCAGTATGTCCACAGGACTACTCGAAAGAAGAGAAGCAACGATCTCCAAAATCCTGTCAGGCACAGCTTTACAAGAATCAAAAGGATGCTCCAGTTCACAACATACTGCTACAGCCACTTTACTCAGCTACTGCCAAAACTCCGTTTGTGTATCGCATGCGCTAAGCTTCCGCGTGATCTAGTCGGACTCCTTCTCTCTTTTTGACTTGGTGGTCGAACGAAGGTTGCAAGCAGCAGTCGAAGTTCGAAGCCCAGTCGCCTGCGCCTATCCCAACCAGCAAAGCCAAAAGCCAACAAGCTAAGCAAACATAACAAAGGCATTAGCCAAAAAGATAGGCGACGCAGGTGACAGAGCTATGACTTGAGGCGTAGCCACCAGCCAGAGGGTGGGCTGGGCGGGTGAAAAAGAAAAGACCTGACATGTCTTCTGCACCGACATGTTCAGTCAGCTGAGCAAAGCGGCTGTGTAGATAGCAATATTCTCAAGCATCGAAAGTGCGAAGCATAGTTGTAAACACCGTTGAGTAAAACACAACAACCGTTCGCAACATACTGCTACAGCCACTTTACTCAGCTACTGCCAAAACTCCGTTTGTGTATCGCATGCGCTAAGCTTCCGCGTGATCTAGTCGGACTCCTTCTCTCTTTTTGACTTGGTGGTCGAACGAAGGTTGCAAGCAGCAGTCGAAGTTCGAAGCCCAGTCGCCTAGTAAGAAACTGCCAAGTCCAAACGAGGTGAAGGAGACCGAATGCAGGCAACGCCCTCGCCCAATGCAAGAACGTGTGAGGTTGACTGAGCTCTTACCAGCCGCCAAAGCTGATCAAAGCCTGCTGCAAAGTGGAAAATCTCACTGGTGCGCTGACGAAGCATAAGGAAAGAAGAGTATGGAGCAAGACAGCGTAGCACCCTAGTGCAGAATGCAAGCCTAATGTGCAGATGCACTCTTGCACATTACGGTGACTCAAAGGACCTTGGAGGTCTCAGCCACAGCTGCCGCAGCTGCACAGCTTGCCTGCAGGAAAAAGGTAGCCCTCACCAACGGGGGAAGCAGAGCGACCGCGCACCGCTGGCGGTACTACCTTGCAGGATCAGCGTTTTTTTTTTACCTGTCTACGGACCGGCCCTCACCGACGGGGGAAGCAGAGCGACCGCGCACCGCCGGCGGTACCGACCCACAGGCACAGAGCTGCAACGGAAGCCCTCGTTTGAGACAGCCCACACTGACGGGGGAAGCCGAAGCGACCGCGCGCCGCCAGCGGTACTGCCTTGAAGGCGTGCAAGAGTTAGTAGCCAAGTGTTGATGCCCGCGCACAGCTGTACCTGAGGGAGGCTTGGTATGGGCGCCTCAGTCCAGAGGGGGCTGCCACAAAAGTGATGCGTCCTCAGGCCAAAGTTTGACATCTGAGCGGAAGTACCAAAGTTTGGCAAGCGGCAGACGTACTCTGTTCTGCAAAAGCCACTTGGGCGCAAGCGGTGACACGCCGTCCCACCTGGATAGCATGTCAGCATCATCGTTGCACACACCTGGCACGTGGGCCACCTCCAGATTGAGGCCTGTCAGCGTGCTGAAAGCGGCTATACGTTGCAAGAACATGCAGATCGGATAAACTGTCGAGAACAGTTTGTTCACCGAAGATGCTGATCCTGTGTTGTCGCTGAGCGTAGGCAACTGCAAGTGAAGACGTCCTGTGGGCAGGCGCGAGGCTACCAGGCAGAGCAGCGCATGCTGGGCAAATATCTCGTAGCAAGTGATGTCACGCTGAGCCTGCAGCTGCATTTGAAGACCTAAAGCTAAAAACTCCTGGACATCGAAGCTTTCGGAGAACCACAGCAGGGGTCCCGAGCTTGAAAGTGAGGCAAACCCGCGGATACCCACAGTACTCCCTGAAGCCACGGCAAGGCGAGCGCAATGCCCGCAAGCGTGGCGTGCAGATAGCCCAGCGCATCCAGAATTTTATAAACTCGGCGCTCATTGCGCTTAGTTTTCGCTTTTCTGTTCTAGGGTCTGCCACTCTCAGCCACAAGCGCTTGCCCGAAGCTTGCACCAATCTGAGATCGCTCTTCCTATGCAATTCCACGTGCTTAGCAGAAAGAAGTTTCCCCCCGATCGGCAGGCCTGAGCCGGGCGGGCTGCTAGTAAAATGAAGAGAATTGCTAAGAGAATCGGTGATGGCTTGCCAGATGCCAGGACTAACACTGTCTCTCTGTTTTCACAATGATTCGAAATATCACTGATAAAAAATTGGACTTCCATATTGTAAGAAAAAGTCCAAAAATCCATATGTTAAAACGGAAAACTGAGCAAACGCGAAAAGTCGCAAATATAAAAAGTCCATAAATCTATATGTTATATCACAATCCTCGAAAGCACTCGGACTTCGGACTTCTTTTTCACGGTCAGGGGTAAGTCACAGCAGGGCGAGTCAGATACTAAGTTTGTGGTTGGATTCCACAAATCTTGAGTTATCGGTTGAGGCACGAGCGTATATGCGTTAGGATGCGCAATTGCTCT